GGATCGTTCTTTGACAGCAATTAAGGCCATTGGCTATGATACCATGTTAAAACTGGGAATTTGAGAGGGAAAAGCTTGTTTTTATTCATTATTATCTTCCATATTTATAGATCTATACAGGATATCTTAATGAGGAAATAATATATTACAGATTTAATACATAAAATTTCTAATAAAATCTTTCCTAAATTCATTCCTTCATTATGGTGTGATCCATGAGAGCATCCCACGGATTGATCTTTGTGTTCGTCAGATTCTTTGCACTGAGAACGGCTGGATTTCAACAAATAAATTCTAAATTATAATAATGTAATTTTTAATTTTAATAATTTATTTGATAAATTATAATGATGAAGTACTTTAGATTATATATATATACATATGAATTGCATTATATTATTTGTTGATTCTCACTGCAAGGAGGGGGCCCACAGGTTTGACATGTCAGCAATCCATAGGCTATGGTTGGAGATTTCCTCTTATAACACCAATATCTATGGGATTGATTCCAAGATTTGTGTGATATAATTATTAAAATAAATTAAATTAAATGATTTTCCTCTTCTATTTATTATAATTTATTAGATTAAATGTCTTTCTTTTTCTGTTTATTCTCCTAGAGTATGTATGTATGTAATAATTCAATGGAATAAAATTTGAATTCAATTTCCCCTATATAATTTCTTCATGATATCAAAGCTTAGGAAAATCCTAAGCCTTCTCTGAGTGCCGGTGGCAAACCTTCCTCCCTTTCTTCCAACCTTCAGCCGGCGGTAACTCTCCATCTTCTTGCCGATAGCCTCTCTTCAAGCACCAATAGCCTTTGTCCAAAATTCATCTTCTCTTTCAACTGAGGAAACCCAATCATGTCCATGGATTGCAAGATCTCATCTTCCTACTCAAATATTATCGGTCTAAACACTGGAAACTCTGGATCTACAGACAACTGTTCTCCTCTTATCGGGTTGCTAATAACGGGTTATTCAAATTGAATTCAAATTTTATTCCATGGAATCATTACATACATATATTGACGTGCGTGATCTTCTGGGCATTTCCATTGATATTGTTCAAATATATTTAATTGTTGCCAATAACGATTTAGAATTTTAAAATATTGAGTTACCATCCTGTCCTCTTATCGGCAGTCGTGAAGGGAATTGGAGTAGGTTTCTTTAACGGCCTCCCATATTTCTTTCTCCATCTCGAAAAGAAGAAAGTTCTCACCGATTTCTACATTCATGGAGTTGATGAGCCAAGACATGATCTGATGATTCTCTGCTTTCCATTTTCTATAGAGAGGATCAGTTTGTGATGGTATAGGAGCTTCACCAGTGAGATAATCCTCTTTCCCTCTCCCACAAAAAAAATATTCTCACTGATTGAGACCATTGCAAAAAATTTAGCCCATTAAATATGTGGTTTCTAATGTGAGGAGGAAGAAATATGGGATGCCGTTAAAGAGACCTACTCCAATTCCCTTCATGACTGCCGATAAGAGGGCCGATTGGTAACTCAATATTTTAAAATTCTAGCCCATTATTGGCAACAATTAAATATATTTGAACAATATCAATGGAAATGCCTGGAAGATCATGCACGTCACCATAAGATTGTTAAGAAAAAAGGAATATTCAAATTCTTGATGAGTTTTGAACAAGAACTTGGATGGCGTTAGAGGACGGATCATGAGAACCAAACCTCTTACAAATCTCTGGGAGGCCTTTTCTGAAGTTCGAAGGGAAGAGAGTAGAATAAAGATCATGTTGGGAGCCCTACAAGGATCTCCAAAGGTTGAAGAAGGAAATGCTCTTACTATCAGCAGCATTCGAAACCCTTCACAAGTTGAAAATTGACATCAAAAGAACGGAGGAAGACCATGGTGTGATCACTGTGCCAAACTAGGACATATAAAGGAGACATATTGGAAGATTCATGGAAAACCAGCTAATTTGAAGGCAAACAAATCCGCACAAGAAAGGAAGACGAACTCTGTCAATACCACACAAGATCAATCCATCAAAGCTAAAGCCATTCCTTTCACCAAGGAGCATTTAGAGATGCTGAAGTTGTTGCTTAATAATATCACGAACCAATAGTCTCTAGAACTTGCTACCAGCCTACACGCTTACTCAGGTATAAAACAATCAAAACTTTGGGTTATTGACTCAAGAGCATCCGATCACATGACAGGAGACATTACACTCCTTTATGACTATCAACCTTATTATTCAAATCGAGTAGTTAAGGTTGCTGATGGCTCAATATTCAAAGTTTTGGGAATTGGTTCCACTTTTTTTCACATAACTACATAAGCTATCACCCTTAAATCAGTGTTTTATATGCCCAATCTTGAGTGCAATCTGATTTCATTAGTAAATTGACTTGTGATAGTAATTGCGTATATCCAATCCAGTATGACTCAGGTTAAAAATATAAGTGGTGGAAAGTGGTTTTTGATATTTGTTGATGATCATACTGGACTCACTTGGGTTTATTTAATGAAGGAAAAATTTGAATCTGAAAGGATATTCAATTCATTTCAACTGATGATTCAAAATCAGTTTGATACAACAATTCAAATCTTAAAGTCAGACAATAGGAGAGAGTACTTTCATTCTATCATGAGAGAATGTAATCAAGCTAAGGGATAATCCAAGTGATTTCATGTGCGTATATGCCTCAACAAAATGGGATAGTTGAGAGAAAAAATAGACAACTCCTGAATGTTGTCAGATCCATTATGCTATCCTCAAAAGTACCAAAATATCTATAAGGGGAAGCTGTTTTTACTATTGTATACCTAATAAGATTATCAGGCACCATGCATCCAATCAAAAACTTTCTCTCCTATAGCAGATTATCAGACACTTATCAAGTCTTCTTTTCCAAGTTAGATGATGTGCATATTTTCACCAATATTCAGGAAGTTTTGAATCACCCAGGATGGAGACAGGCTATTAAAGAAGAAATTATGGCTATAGAGAAAAATTAAATATGGGTAATTACAAATCTTCCATCAGGAAAGAAAGTTGTGACTTGCAAATGGGTGTTCACCGTAAAGCATAAGGAGGATGGTAGTGTTGATAGGATGAAAGTTGTACTGATTGCAAGAGGATTTATTCGGTCTTATGGAATAGACTATTAGGAAACTTTTGCTCTTGTTGCAAAGCCTAACACCATCAAGGCATTTTTTTTCCTTAACATCAAATTTAGATTGGCTCCTACATCAACTAGATATTTAGAATGCATTCTTGAATGGGAACTGAAAGAAGAAGTTTACATGGAGATTCCAATCGGGATTTAGAAGTCTTATTCAAGGGACAAAGTGTGTAAATTGTTGAAATCCTTCTATGGATTAAAGCAATCTCTTAGAGCATGATTTGGAAGATTCTCAAAGTATGTAAAAGATCATGGTTTTAGACAAGGCCAGGTAGATCATACCATGTTTGTGAAGCAGTCAGAAAGAAACAAGGTAGAAGTACTGATTATATATGTGGATGACATCATAGTTACGGGAAATGATATAGAGGAATTAATGAAGATCAAATAGGCTCTTTCCAAGGAGTTTGAAGTTATAGATTTAGGATCACTTAGATACTTCTTTGGTATGGAGGTAACTCGATCAAGTAAAGGTATATTTGTTTTCCAACGCAAGTATACCTTAAACCTACTGAAGGAGACCGACCTGTTGGGATGCAGACTGACCAGTACACCTATGGATCCTAAGAGGAAACTTGGGATAGAAAAAGAGGGGGTTCCAGTAGATAAAGGAAGATATCAACATCTGGCAGGAAAGCTTATATACCTCTCCTACACCCGTCCAGATATTGTGTTTGTTGTGAGCATGGTGAGCCAATATATGAGTAATCCTATAAAGGATCACATGGAGGCAGTATATCAAATCTTGAGATATCTCAAGAATACTCCTGGAAAGGGGCTATTATCAAATATTGCTCTCTTTTACATTTTGTTCTTTTGCAAACCTTTGGGTATTGTCTTAATGAATTCTTGCTCGACATTTATTTTTATGAAATGTTGTTTGCTCACTCTGTTTTACATTTTGTTCTTCTGCAGATTCTTGCCATATTTTCTTTGTTCTTATCCTTTTCATTCCCAATCTTTTCACATCATTGATGCATCTTTTATCCTCAGATTCTATATTCTCAAACTGCTGACATCTATGTTATGTAACCTCATTTTATTAGCTGCTGCCTGACAATCTCGCTGTGTGCTCATCACACTCTATTCATTTTAATTTTATCATACAATAATATTTACATTCTCATTCCTACCACCCTTTTAAGCATCTTGGTTGCCCAACAATGCAAGCTAAACGACATAGCTGTAAGATTTATAATTGATGGTTACAATATGCCATTGATGTTAGTGACTTCAAAATTACAGAATTTTGCTTGATTGATTTTACACAGCCAATTAGAGGAATTTCTTCTTATTCCTATAATCCACAACGAGAATTGCATTTTCAAGGACGTTGGATAATTTGTTCAAATGGATTGGTGAAGAAGATTGCTTTAACAAGTAGGAGTTATGATCCATAATGTTGGTGAAAGAATTTTGTAATGCTAGAGACGTGGTTTTTTAATATACCATGGATTTTCTAATAATCAATTGAGCATGTGACTAGTGAGCACAAGATTGTGTTAAAACTTTTATAAATTGTAGAATACATTTAAATATTTGGGGAAATGCATCCTATAACGTGCTGCCAAATAAATAAGACAAGAAATATTTTGCAAATTTAGATTCTGCACTAATGAGTTCCTGGAAACCTGGATCACAATATGGACTTAATGAGCTATACTTTCATACTTCCATGAATTGTGACTTTTTTGTCCTTGGAGTTTCATATCCAGTAGATGGTTATAATATTAGTGAAACTGCTTGATTAGTTCATTTAAGCTTGGTAAGTTTATGCACTAGTTTGGGCTTCTGCATGCACTTGATATCTATTCTAATGCAATTTCTTTCAAGCGCAGTTAGATCAAGGCAACGTGAATGGAACAACATCTGCCACATCTGGTACACAGGTGAAGACTTCTAGACCGTGAAAACCAATACAACCTGCAGTTGCATGCCTTTGAAAAACATGAACCAAACATTTACCTTTTTTCATGTTACCTTGCTAGAAAGATGTAAAATTAGCTGTAAATTATTCTGTTGCTTCGCGAAGTGATAGAGTAGCTGCATGAAAATTTACTTGAATTTCCAGGCCAGTGTTTCATTACTCATAAATTAAGTATATGATGATTTCTCATAAAAACTACTATGTCAGTCCTAATTCCATTTGAGAAAGATTGAGGGTTATGTTGTCGACAATTACTCGTTAAACTTATGCCAAAGTTTATTGGAAATCCTAGGAAATACTACAGTGTCTGCATAAGCATATAGCGTTCTTTGAGGAAAAGTGCTATGTCGTTTCCAAGCCCAATTAAGAAGGGTCCAGGATTGGTAATTTGACTACTAACAAAGCATACAACTTATGCTAAAATTCATTAATTGAGCCCAAATTGGCATCATATAATGCAGACCTCTATGGAAGCTATTTATGAGATCCAAATCTCTCCTAGATAAGTACCAAGTAACCCAAACTTCTTTAGGATATGTATTAAGTAACTCAAACATCTATGGTAGGTATTTGTGTGATTTACTCTAGGATGAGAGATATTTAATAATCCAAACCTATTTGGGAGGTATTAATATAACACATTTATTGGAAATTTTTATCAAAAATTTGAAAATTTTTGTTATTGATTACAACGTAGAAAACCATACATTATCTTGAGTGATAAAAGTATTATTTTACTATGAACTGTTGATCTCAATACTAGTGTCGGCGTCGAGTCGACCGCTCAAAGTTAGTTTCGAAAGCGAAAGAGCGTGATACACATAACTCAACCCATTCGCGCCGACAAAAAAAAAATCCAAATAATTGAAATGGCCTCCATTTGCGAAACGGATAGCGCCAGTGCATCTGAAGCAATGGAAGCGACTAAGATCAACAACCATATTTATTGGGGTCGTTGACTGGCGAAAATTTAAATTTCTCCCTCGCAAATTGAGACAACGACGTGCGCGAATGGCGACGATGATGTTGCGACCAAGTCGAAGCACAATTATAAAATTTTTATATATTGTATATATTTTAAATATAATAATAAAAGAGAGAGAGAGGAGATGAATTTTAAAATATTTAAAAAAAAAACCTAAACAATTTTAATCCCTAAAATACCCTCATACTCTCATAATCCATCCCACTCTCCCTCACGAGAAAAATTATTATGTGCAAACGTCGCACGCGTCCGAAGGCCAATCTCTCTCCCTCACGATTCATTCTCATGCGCCTCACACGGCTCTCCCAACTTAACTCCCTCTCCCTCTCTCACGACTCCAAGCTGCCGGCCTCTCTCCAACCAACCACCAAGGTATGCTTCTTCTTCTTCTAGTTTCTATCTTCTTCTTCTTTCTTCCTCCATTTCCTCCCATTTTCTCTTTTCATTCTTCTTCTCTTCTTCTCCTTCATCTTTATCTTCTCTTCTTCTTCCTCCATTTTCTTCCCAAACCTAACCTAATCGTAAACCCAAATTTTTTCGATTTCTCAATATTCATTCCTCAAATCCCTACACTCGCTTCACAAAAAACCTGCACAAATACCTACACATCATCCACCAAACAGCCCCATCGCAATCTGCTTTCTCTCTCTATTCTAGAGAGAAGAAATTTTATGTAGAAAAAGAGAAATTCCATGAAATTACTTTTCAAACACTTCATTCAACACCTCCCACTCTCATTCATGCTTTGCCATCTTCCTAGAGAGAAATAAATTCTTCTCTCTCTTTCTCTCTCTAAAATTGGAGAGAGAGGGATTTTCTTTCTCCAACACTACATTCCTCACCACAAATGTATTCCTACACCATCTTCACCAAATCCACCCCTTCCCTCTCTCTCTCTAGAAAGAGAGCTTGCACTCTCTCTCTCTCTCTAACCTTTAAAAAAGTTGATACAAAATTATATATAATTAAATAGAATTAATGTTGATAAAAAAGTATATTTTGTATCATAGGTTTCATGTGTCGCTCCATCTTGTATTTCATCATCGTCGCCTCGGTCATCATATACCTAGGTATAACCCCAACACTAGCTATTTTATGATTTTCTATGCATGATATGGGTGTATGTGTTGATTTTCTTAACAGGAGAAAATTTTGTATGCATGAAATTAAGTAATTGTCACTGTTTTTCTTAGCAGACGATGAAATTTGCTTGCATGATATAAGTACCCATAACTGTTTTTCTTAGTAGACGAAAAAATTTTTATGCATAAAATTAAGTACTCGTGACTTCTTTTCGTAGGAGGCTAGAAAATTTGTTGCATAAAAAAATCATTAAGTACCCGTAATCGCCTTTCTTGGCAAGCAGGGAAATGATGTGCTTTATAAATAGGTGCTTGAGGACCCATAACTACCTTTCTCAGCAAGCAGGAAATGAAATTTTGGCTGTTATGTCACCTGACACCTTCCGTGGCTACCTTTCTTAACAAGAGGGAAGGCTTAGTACCCAAATACAACCCCCTACACGAGGACAACGCCGAGGTATTGCCATAATTTACAAAAAAAGAAAAAATATTGTCTTAGAAAATTTTAAAGAAATTGAAATCTACTTAAATTCTTAAGTCAACAAGATATTATAATGCATGACATCCTAGGTTCAAAACATTGGAAAACAAATATGAACTAAAAATCAGAACTTAGTGAAATAGAACTTGCAGGAGAACTATTTGTTCTCCAACAACAAATAGACTAAACTTCTCTCTCTTAGCTTCTAGTTAGTGCACACTCAAACTCCTTAGTCATACTCTCTCTAAATTGAAATGTGCATAGGAATGAACTAGGTTTGAGTTCTCTATTTATAACCCAGAAAATTGACCCCTTGTGGGACTCGCTGAGCAAAGCGTTAAATACAAAATGATAAGGGGATGAGTCACGGGTGCACAAGGCCTTACGTAACGTGTACGCTAGCTGTTAAATTCATGAGACTCATACGTCCTGTGAATGTGTTGTACTTCCCGTGAACATTTTCCTTTGAAAAAAAAAAGTACACTGTTACAAGTCACATGCAATACGACTTTCTCATTCAAGTGTGTGAGGTGTTAAATCACCAAAAAGAAACATGTCTTATATGTCTCTTGATCGTATAGTGCAAATGCTTTTTTCTCCATAAAAGTGCATTATACGAGCACACACTGTGGCATGTATGTATATTTTCAATCATATGGGTGCACTGCATACTATATATGCATGACATTGATCATGCAAATGCATTATACATGTGCATTAAGTAAAATGCAAGTGCCTCATATAAAGTGCACTAAAATATATTTAAGTTTACAGCATAATGCATAAGATATAAATACATATGCAAACATGTATGCAAATACACTATGCACCTTTATGTATATGTTTCATATCAATTCCCCATGTGCATTGTGTCAGTCATGCAAATGCATTATGTCAATTATACAACTGTCATATAATTGCATAGTGCAAATCATATATATGCATGACTCACATCATGTATATCCTCATGCATATATATTGTTCAAATCATAAAGCACACAAATATACATATACGTCATACACATCAAATGTTTCATATGCATATATACTATCTGATATATAAATAAATTATGTAAAATGCATTCAAAAGTATGTTCCCGCATGAGCCCCGATGAGCGTGACATATACACGTGGCGTCTGTGGATGTTGTGCGGACTAGATAGTAATGAGTTTTAAAACATGCAAACATGCACCAAATAACTATACAAATGCACATACAATGTATAATTGTGTAAAGTGCACCAAAAAAATAAATCTTGCAAGGGCCTCGATGAGCATGATATATGTACACACGTGATGTCTGAGGATGCTATGCCGGTCAAAGTGAACTTAAGTTCAAATCTAATCCTCCTCTTTGAATGGACCAGAGTTGACATGACTTGAACTACCAAACAAATACACGGCCATAGCGCTGACCGAAGTATTTTGTTTTATATGTTCATATTAGGCTTTCAAATTCAAGGTCTATTACAAGAAATGTTCAATTCTAAAAGCATAAACTCTCAGAACCAACACTCGTTGAAGTTGATTAAAGTATTTAATTTTATACGTTTATATTAGGTCTTCAAGGTCTCTTATAAATAAAATTATATTTTGAAATGAATACCCCCGATTCTGATATATATACGATAACTAAAAAATTAAGAGTTGAACCAGATCCTCTATTTACAATCAAACAGAGTTGAAAAAGCTCGATTAATAAAATGAACATACCCACAAAACTCACTATGATGACCATTTTGAATATTTATTTCAATCAGAGGGGACTACTCTTTTAAATGTCGTCAAATTCTTGTAAACAAAAATATTTTCAAATGACTATAATGTCACCTTGATGATGGCCGTGTTAAATGCAAATCTCAACAGTAGTGATCCAAACAAATTTAAAACAATGCCCCCAAATCTCAAAGTTAAATGTCCGGGGTTAAGTATAAATAAATTTTTTCAAATCTTTTACTTTTCAAAGATCTAAAAATGTCTAATTGAAATAAAACACCTAAACTCTTAAAACAAAAACTCATCCACCCCCCACAACAGTTTGCGGAGGTGGATAAATTTGAAAATCACTTCAGCTCATAAAGAGCAAATGTTCAATTGAGAATATGATTCATTCTTAAACCAACTCTTGTTAGTAAGGACGTGGTACATTTTCTCTAGCTTATGGTTTCACCACCAAATGGCTTCGTAGGTAAATGATTATGATCTGGGCCCTCTGATCGGGTAGATTTGTCGCCAAATGGTATCACTAAATTATGTTCAAGGCCAGAGCCCGTATGTTTCTCAACAGCTCTAAATTTTTTAGTAATGAATCAATAGGATATAATTGATAGGGCACAAAGCCCTTTGTTAGCTAAGGTGTACTCAAATGTGTTCCCTTAGACAAACATTCATCCCAAGTCTACAAAGTACCATTGGATGAAGCAACCCATGGCTGCCAACAAGGATCCTTCGGTCAGGTTGGGTGGACTACCTCTTTTAACTAAGTAGGCTAAGGATTATGATGACCCAGGATGATGGAACTATGGAATTTTGATCGAGTTCATTATGGATGATCTTTTGGTATGGTTAATGATTGAAACGACGCGTGTTTTGGCTGAGTTGGCGCAACTCCTTGCGTTAGCAACTGCTCCGCCGTGGCGCTTGAATGTGAATTTCGACGCTAAGGCATTGCATGGCTTAGCACTCCGAGGCTCATTTTTCTAAGGCTCCAGTACTACAATGCTAAAATTCACTACAACGGGTTGTGTTGCGCTGCGGCGCTGACCTTGGTGTCGCCGCGTCACTAGAAAATAGAGAAACCGGCGCTACAATGTTAGAATTAGGCACCTCGGCATTGACGACTATAGCGCTACAGTGCTTTGTCTGGTGGTGGTGTTCAACACTTATAGTTTTTTTTTTCTTTTCTTGTATATTTCCTGCACAAACATAATTAAATAACACATTTTTACTGAATTTAAATGCAATAAATAATACACAATTTACACTTAACAATTACTTGCATTAGATTTTTTTTTATGTCAAATTTGTACATTTCAGCTTTCTTGAAGCACCATTGCAGCTATCTTATTTTCCTGGGAAATTCCTTTTTTTATAGTTCTATTGTTTGATATCCGCAAATGCCATTGATGATGCACTTCACATTCTCAGTGGAATTCTTTTGTCCTTGTTTGCAGTTAGTGTCAGAGAAAAGCCATGGGGATTTGCTGTCTTTTGCTAGGGAACCTACGACTGGCAGCCAGTCTGCACCGATCTTACCTGAGAAGAAGTTTGAACTGTCTGAAAGAATCAAACAAATACCAGCTTCATCTCCAATGAGATTTCATACTTATGTTCTTCCTACACCTGTAGATGCTAGGAATTCAGTCTCTGCGGCTAGGCCAGATAACAAGGGTCAGTGGCCTAAACAATTGTGGCATTCCTCCCCATTGGAGCCAAATAAACCTGCAGAAGGTTTAAAAGATGAACTTTCAAGCCCCAAAAAGTTACATATTTCTCACGCAGTGCTCAAAGATAGGAACATAAAGAGTGGTCAAATCCAATTGCCCCCTCCTGTTGAGAGGTTAATATTGCCGCAGTCAAAGTACAATAGTGGAGTTTCTGATAGCAAAAAAATTAAAAGGCAAGCTTTCTCTGGTCCTCTGATTGGTAAATCTTTGTCAAGTAATCCCAGGTTATTTTCTGAGACTATTCAGCCAGCAGATTATCCTCCTGGACCTTCTTTCACAGCAGGGCGCGTTCCATCACCTCAGTTGTCCTTGTCCCCTTCAGCCTCGCCTTTTCCTATGCTATCATCAGAAGTTAATGAACTTCATGAGCTTCCTAGGCCTCCAATAATTTCAGCAAGACCTGTGAGAACATCTAGTTTGGTTGGTCATTCGGGGCCACTTGTGACAAGAAGTCAAGGGCTTTATGCAACAAGTGCAATGTTATCAAATACAGCATCGCCATTACCAACACCACCTCCAGTTATGGCTCGAAGTTTTTCTATACCCTCTAGCGTTCAAAGATCAGGAACTCTAACAATGGCTAACTTTCTTGAGGACAGTCACAATGCGGAGGTGTTTGATGAGGTTTCTTCACCGCCACTTACATTGATCTCTCTCGCAAATAACCATCCACCGAAGGATCCAAATAAAATGCTCTTGGTTCCAAGCTATAAGGTATAAGGACTTTCATTATGTATTTCTATATCATGCATTGCAATTTTTATTTTTTCCCCAGTTTTTGAGTAGCTGAAAGCATTAAATTCATCATTTTGCTTTCATATTTGAGCATCTGACTTGACAAGGAGTTGGTAACTGTTTTTATGAGATTTTTTTTTCAAGCCATTGCTATCATATATTCTTGTTTCTGTCAAAGCAGCTAGTTATATGTATAGGAATTATTTTGACTATTGTTGGAATGATCGTAGATTCAACTAGGGTTTCTCCATTCTAACATGAATTTTTACAGATAGAGTGATTTTAATCATTATTTGATGATTGGAATTGACATCATGCTAAGTTGGGGTTCCTTGCTTATATTGGATCAATTAAGACTTCGTTTGGTACGATTTTCTTATTGCTTCATAAAACAGCTTTCAAGTATAAAAATTTTAATTTTTATTTTAAAAGCTGCTTTAAGAAGCAGTAATAAAGCTGTCTCAAACGAAGCCTAAGTTTATGTCCCTCTTTTTATAAGAACTAGTTGTTACAAGATTTTGTTGGGATTACAAATGCGTTTGACAATTCTGTGTTGTGGTTGTTTGCGGATACTAAACTTCCTATTGTAAGGATATTTTTTTGTTTATCTTAATCATGACTTGCTCGAAATTTTCTGATGTAAGAAAACTTAGTTTTATACTTCATATTAAGTTTGCTAAATTTTACATGTTATCATACTGGAACATAACCTCCTACTTTTTCTTTTGTTCAGGGCTCCTATGATTGAAATAAAACTCTGGTCTAAGTGTCAGAATCCCTCAGAAGTAACCGTGGTTTGTGTATATAGTAATCTGTTCATTCTTAATTTTCCTCCCGAAATCTTTTCTTGCTACGCATTAAATGGAAATGCAAATGTCATCAGTCCATCAGGTGATATTGTTAATTGAAATATGCTTGTTATTCATCAATGAAATTTTTTGTTTCCACTTTACTCCCCCGACACACTGGTTCTCATTAGTATGATTTAGATTTCATTTGGAACAGCTTTAGACCACTGTTTTTTCTCTATTTTAAGAGACTTTTGTGCTAAAAAATAGTTTTACAAAGTAGTAAAAAAGTCGCCCCAAATGAAACCTTAGTGTGGCAGCATTCTCAAGTGTGGAAATTATGAAGCTCAAGTTGTCTTTTTAAGACATCTTTGTTTTTTCCTGTTTTTGGGTGCTCTTCTGTATTAAGGCTTGTATTCTCCATACGGGTTTGGCCCTGTAAGCTTTTAGAAATCATCGTTGATATATGGATGGATGGAATTGTATATAGTAGTTGATTTAGTAGCATTCTTTTTTTTTTTCTACTCCTGTTCTTCGTATTTTCTCATGATACTTTTTGTGTGTTTTTATGGGTCTACTGATGGAATTTTACATAGTAGTTGATTTAGGGGTACTTTGAGGCAGCTGTAAATTTTTGTAAAATTATAGTATAATTATGAGGAAAATATATTTTCAAAAAATTATTAGGAGTATCACAATTTTTTCTCTTTTGAAATAGTTGGATTACACTTCAGTAAATTTTATTATAAAAAGTTATTTCTCAGCATATATTTTTAAAAATAAAAAGCTATAGCTAAACAGGATTATGGAAATTGCCTATAAAGCAAAGATTTAGGTTTTGTTTGGGACGGCTTTCTTGCTGCTTTTTTAAACAGTTTTTTTTACAAAAATTAAAAATTTTGTACTAAAAAGTTGCTTTAAAAAGCTGTAAAAAAGTCCTCCCAAACGAAACTTTAGTCAGATTGGGTTATGAATCTGACCACTACCTGGGACTTATGTTAAGTTAGATGGGGGTGACTGCCTGAACTTTAATTGAGAGTTTGAGACAATTGAGTTGATGAACTTTATATGAGCAGTGAAGATTTCAATTGAAAGATTGCTACAACATAATCAGGAAGGTTTGATGCCTGGTTAGATTGGATCAGGTTCTTTCCCCTCCATCTGCTAGCCTGACATCTTCAGAGTGAGACTTATAATAGTCAATTTTGTTTGCTATCCTTTGATGATAATTCTTCGAAGCGGTTTTCTAGTTTAAGAAAATTTTTTTGTTGTCTCATTCTTAGATCCTATCAGGTTAATTGTTCTTCAATTTCTCAGGCTAGATTCTTTTTTAGCAGTTCTCTGATAAGTTTCTTTGTTCTATTTATGCTTTGAAGAATTGGATACTTAATGGAATGCTGGACTAGTCAAAAGTTTTAGATTCTTGACAGCCAGATTTGAATTTTGCAAGTTTATGAAGGTCTGAACTGTTCTGATGCCTCTTGTTTATGCTTTTTGGCTTTTTCATTCCTTCAGAGTTTTAGTAGTAGCAATATTTTAGGAGCTTATTTGGTTGGTTTATCAGAGAACTCCTCAATGGTGATTTGATCAACTGTGCTTAGTTCATTTTGACTTTTTATGTTCTGAATAGTCAAGACTCTCATTGGTTTTATTGCATTATTGGATTGCCAAATGTATGTGCTTCTCTATTCATTTTGATCTGAAGTTTCATCCATTATTCTGAATTGGTTTTGTTAGCTTTACCTGATGACTTCAGCTGAGGTTAACCTCTATAGGGTTTAGATTTGCATTTAGGAGGCACAAAAAAGTCTAAGTGATGAAGATGATGAATGCTATGATACTTTTTGATATAAATGATACTTGTGGTTGAATGACTTGAGTATATATGGGAAGAAATATTTTTATTGGAAGTCCTCCAAATAGATAAGGAAAGGAAGAATTTACCAAGAGGAGAAGGAGAGAGGGAAAAGGGTGGCTGATCATCTTCAAGGGGAGGAGAGGAGAGGAAGGAGGGACATAGAAGGGTGGCTGATCACCTTCAAAGCAAGAGGGGGAAGAGAGAGAGAGAGAGAGAGAGAGAGAGAGAGAGAGAGAGAGAGAGAGAGAGAGGGTGACTGAACATCTTCAAGGGAAGGGGAGGAAGGAGGGATAGAGATAGAGAAGGGTGGTTGATTACCTTCAAGAAGAGAGAGAGAGAGAGAGAGGGTGGCTAATCACCTACAAGGGAGAAATTATTCTATGCAGAGGTCCGACGTAGCTCTACGTCCTGAGGTGAATCATGTGCAGTCATGTTAGCGGTACCGAGCCATAATACACAATGGAGAAGTGGCATGACGCATTTTGATTCGTCTTCGGCGTTCAGCATCTAATGCACAGAATAATTAATCCCTACAAGGAGAGGAGATTTGGGGGAAAGTTTATTTATGAATTTTGAGTTCCTCAAATCATTGAAATTCTCTTATAAACATCTTCTCTTTAAACAAAAAAAATAATTGAAAAAAAAAAATGAAAGGCATCAAAGTATAATTATGAGAAGTAATATGTGATCTTATTACAAAAATTCCTCTAAATAAAAAAGTTTCTTGATTATAACTGTATTGCAAAATGATTTAAAATTACATAGGCACTCCAAAGTGGATGTGGATCTGCTGACATTTCGGATAACGTTCCTCTATCCACTTGATCGTTGATTCTGCTTTTGGTTTGTTTGTTGTTTGGAAGTGCTCATCTCTTTGGCCCTCAGGCAATCAATAGTACAAAGATCATGCAATATTTTGCTCATTTCTTTCTAGCAAGTCAATGATAGAAAATTATGATGAATTAATAGAATAATTATAATATATAATTTTTAGTTTTGGTAGGGTTTATTGCATTTTTATAAATATTTTACCTTAGAGAGTAATAGGGTGACAATGAAGAAATGAATGAGTTAGGGGGAGTCAATATTTGACACGACTTGAAAATTCAACTTGAACCTGACACCGATCAACCCGTTTGTGAAATGGTTGAGTTTGAGTTTAGCAAACAAGGGTGCATGAGATTGAGGAATATTGGGTTAGTTTCTTCATGAAGTGGCGCAAACGATGGGGTTAGTTAAAAGAGCAGGTGGTGAAGTTACACACAAGGGTGCATGAGATTTGATAGTTTAAAGAGTGACAAATAAAGCTACATGGAAAGGTGCAAGTAAGGTGATATTGAAGCTACATATGTGAGTGTAGGCTACATGATAAGCTAAAGGGTAGGTGATAGAGTTGTATTTAATGGTGTAGGGATATGATTGAGGAATAAACTATGATTCTTTGTGCAATCATAAATTAAATGAATAGCAAGATAAGATATTAGATTTTACCTTCTCTCCAATTGATACAAATGTAATTGAACAAATTATTGAATAATCTTTTAATAATGAGGTTTAATAATTATATAATATGTTAAATATTGCTTAATAACCACTATGATATGATAATACCACACACATAAAATATTTTATTGATAATAAAAGTTATACATTAAAGTAGATTATAATTCACCTTTATAAATTTTAATCAATTTTCTAAAGGAGATTAATTTAATATATAATATTATACCAACCAACTTCTATATAACTAAAAACTTGATAATCAAATTAGGATTTAAATGAATAAGAGTTAGATGATCGTATCAATACATGTATGTTGTATTATAAGAATGATATCACAAAAAATCAAAATATATGATTTTTCTCTAATTCTATGACTAATATAATCATATGCATATATGAGCAATACGAAGCATATGAGATGGTATAATGAGAAATGAGAAATGTTAGGGGATTTATATAATTCATTAGAGGCTGAAGTATACAAATACTTTGATTACAGATATTTAGAGAGTGTTACCTCATCTAAAAAATATATATGATTCAATACTATGTTGTAACAAAAGAAGAAGATGAGATGAGAGAAGATAACAAATGAGAGATAGTAAATGAGGTGAGGAGTAAGCAAGAGGAGGGAGAGAGAGATAAGTACATGAAAAATACATAATAATCTATGCAACTCTCCTATAAATTTTAGTTTAAATACATTTATTTTTTAATTGTATTAATCTTAAGTCATTTATGTTTTTTTTAAATATTATATAGAATGCGTCTGGCATATTATATTTAAGGGTTGATATGCAGATGATAGACTTGTTAAGTCAAAAAGTTTGGCATCAAGTATTGGCAAAAAAAATCATTAGTAACTTAGTCATCTAATAGAAAACCCACATTTATATATCGATAGACTATCTATAAAAAATATTGGTAATTAAGCCATTAAAAACTACCATAGGTTGCCAATTCACCTATACATATTAGCAAATCTCATGCAGCATTTTCATATGTAAGTATTAATAATTATCCCTCCGAAATATGTTGGAAGAGCCTACCCACTAAATTTAAGGTCACCAAAAATTATTTTGGCTAGATTTTTTGGTAGCCAACTTTTCATTAAAAATCTACTAAACTAGCAAAAAACAAATCTAAAATTGTAATATCTAATAATGAAATTAAATTAGTTTGTTAGGAACATTTAGACATAGGATATTAAGATCCCTACAAATGAATGTTCATTGATTATCATGGATTCAATTGCTTCCTACAAATAGTGTGAAACTATCACATGCCAAAAGTGCTTTCAATAAAGTGTGGAGTAAGAGAGTTAAATGCTTATATTAGCTCATAAGAGAGAATTGTTTTTTATGTGAGAAAATCTTGAAGTGGAAAATCACGAGAATTGAAATTTTTTAAAATCATTACTTGTCCATGTGTTTGTTAAACTACAAGAACTTAAGAGGAATTCAATATAATTTGAAACATAAATATTCAAAATAAAGATAATGATTTTAAGGGCATCTATGCTAATAGCTGCACACAGATGATGCAATTATAACTCTGCATCATTTTTACGGAGTTTAGAAGGTATCCATTTTCATACAACATTTCATTATTAATGAGTATGACATCCTTTATCATTAAGTAAATTTTGTCATCATTAAAATATAATGGTTAATTCATTTGTAATCATTAAATGTAATAAGCAATGTGTCATTTTACAACTAGTAATTTGACTATTATTCACTAGTTATAATGAGTAGCACATTTGTGACCATCAAAAGAAATAAATAAGACATCCATTGATAGCGAGAAATAATGAGCATAATGACCCACAATAGTGAGTTATAATGGCATTT